CTCTATCTCAAAAAAAAAAAAAAAAAGAAAGAATCATTAACTCAGAATTCCAGTTAATCCCTGGTAAGGCTGAATGGAAGGTTTTGTCACTAAACAAAACATTTATGAGCTCTTTGTAAGTTAGAAAAGTGTGTTACTCTGTTTAAGGAGACTTTTTTAGAATAGGATATTTTTAAAAGGTATAGTAATTCACGGGTTCAGCAATTCGGTTCTCCCCCAGCTACATCAGAGTCCCCTTGTTTCATGTTTGGTACGAACCCCTGCCCCTCCCGCTCCCTGCATCTTGTAAGTGTTCACAGCAGACTTAGGGCCACAGCTGCTGAGCGCACTCCCCGGGAGCTTCCTTCTCACTGACTTGTTTGTGTTTGCTGCTGCTTCCACGCAGACTTGTTTTTGGGGAGGTTTTTTTGGTCCAGCCTCGACACCAGTGTTCTGTCTGCCCAATTTCCTGTTGAGGGGCAAACTTTTTTCAATGCTGCTGCTTTTTATTATTGAGATACAATCCACATAATGAAAATGTCACCATTTTAAAGTGTACAACTCAGTAGTTTTTAGTATATTCACAATGTTTTGCAGCCCTCACCACTATCTAATCCCACAGTATTTCTCTCACCCTACATAGCAACCCTACACCTGCTAGCAGTCACTCCCTATCCCCTGGCACATTTGTTTTAACTGGTAATTACCATGATGTTTTGTCACTTGGGCTTATCACATCTGTCCTCCAAGAGCCCACTTGCCAGGTAGCACCTGTGCTTGGTTGGATTCTTTAGTCTTTATTTAGAAAAACGAACAAAAATCCATTCAGAGTAGCTGTCCCTCTAGTGGGAGGGAAAGCCATTATTTTAACTTTTCCGTTTCAGTAGGTACAGATTGTGTATCCCAGAGCAATTGCAAGCTATTAGCGCTGAATTTGGAGAAAGTAAAATTAATTAAGAATAGGACTGATTTTAAAGTAGAAGGCTGTTTGTACAAGTAAAATACTTTAGAGTTTTAAAGATACTTTGATTAAATCCTTCAGATAGGTACGATATAGCTTCCAAAACGGTGGAATTAAATACTAAAACAAACCTAAACTTTGCTTTAAGGTGGCAGCATCTTGAGTACTCGCTGCTCTGAAACGTACGAAACCAAAACGGCATTAATAAGTCTGTTTGGAATCCCGCTGTGGTACTTCTCCCAGTCCCCACGCGTGGTCATCCAGGTGAGTGGGCACCTGTCCCAGGGCTGCGCTTGGTCCAGCGCGGGCTCCCACGTCTGCCACCTGGTGGTGGAAGCCCCCAGGCACAGGCAATGTGATGGCCATGCCAGTTTATTGATGCATTTTCTTAACTTTTTATCAAGGTGTAATAAACATACAGAAAGTGTGTAAGATCGTAAGTATACAGCTCAGTGAAGTTTCATCAAATAAACACGTGTGAAACTAGCACCAGGACAGGAAACCACATCCCCAGCACCATGAGGTCCCCTCACATCTCCACTGGCCTCTAGGTTAGGGTTAGGGTTAGGGTTACCAGACATGTGTCCTGCTTCTGTCTGAGCTTCAGGCAGAGGGGACCGTGGTGTCATACTTGCCTTGGTGGGTTTCTCTCCTGTTTGTCCATGCTCTGTGTAGGTGTTTGTTAATGCTCACAGCTGGGTGGTCTTGTGAGACTGTGAGTTGCCCGGTGTCGGTTTTCTGAAGAGTGGGAGTGGGTGGAGTGAGCATTAGTCGGCGTCCAGCGGGGAGCCCTCCTCTGGTGCCAGTGTTGACCACTCCCCTTATGGACCACTGCTTCCTTGTGCCTTTAATTTTTACTCTTGGTTGTACAAACTTAAAGGACTAAAGAATGAAGAATTTAAATGGTCAGATACATTTATTTTGCCTTAGTACTAAAATGCTTCCTAATAATCCTGGCATTTTTTGAAGAAAATTAAAGTTTCTTTTATGTGAACATCCACCTGATACCTACTTTTTAGTTAGAAAACAAGTCCAGGCTGGGCGTGGTGGCTCATGCCTGTAATCCCAGCACTTTGGGAGGCTGAGGTGGGAGGATCGCTTGAGACCAGGATTTCAAGACCAGCCTGAGCAACATAGGAAAACCCTGTCTCTACAAAACATAAAATAGAAAAATTAGCTGGGCGTGGTGGCACCTGTAGTCCCAGCTACTAGGGAGGCTGAGGCAGGAAGATCCCTTGAGCCCAGGAGTTGGAGGCTGCAGTGAGATGTGATGGTGCCACTGCACTCCAGCCTGGGCAACAGAGCGAGACCTTGCCTCAAAATAAATAAATAAACCACAAGTCCAGTCTTAAAGAATTCATGAAGTAAGTTGTACATTAAGTATCAGTGAACCTAAAATTTAGGATCCTCTGGTACTATCATGGTAATTGTCTTGTCTCCATGGTTGCCCTTGCTGGAGTGTCTGCCACGTGTAACCGTCTGGCTCCCTGTGGTCTCTAGTGAGGGTGCAGCATGTGCTCGGCAGCCTCTGTGGACGTGCTCTTCCCTGCAGACGGTGGGAGACGCTGGCTGTGACACTGCAGTGCAGCTTGCGGCTCCCTTTCCTCCGTGCTAGTTTGCAAGCACCCTGTATAGGCTGCCACCTGGCAAGGCAGACAGGACACCTCCACGGTGCTGCCTCCTGCTCCTGGCCATAGCAGAGTCCTGAAAGGCCTTGGTGTTCCTGACACACCCCAGATGCCACACTGGTGCACAGCACTGTTGCTGTCACACTGCTGGGAGTGGTGATGGCGTAGCGAGTCTCTGGGTGTCTTAGATGTGTGTGAGGGAGAGAGTGGGACAGTCCCCAGTCAGAAGCAGCACAGGCGAACTGGAGTGGAGAACGTTTATGTAAAGAATTATTAGCTGTAACGGGATTGGAATAACAAGCGATTGGCTACTGGGAAGTAAAGAGAATTCTCAAAGAACATAGGAATGGCAGGTACAAGGACCAGCTCCCACCCCAGGACTGAGGTAGAGCACCTAGGAAGCATCCCTGCCCTGCCCAGGGCTAAGGTCCAGAAGGGGCCCGGCCGCAGCTCACTGGCCGGCAGGGTAGGTGCTGTGCTGACTCGCTGGCAGAACCCACTGGAACCTGCTGGAGGCATTCTGCTGCAGGCTCCCAAGAGGGGCGCCCAGGGCACACCCTGTGCTGACAGCTCAGTCTTTGGGCTGGCAAAGGGAAAGCAGCGACAGGGCCCAGTTCCGTTTTCCCATGCCAGGCTAAAAGGATGGATTTGGGCTGACAGGCAGTAAATAGATAACTGGCACAAAGGAGAAAACGGAATGTGTACGGGCACACTGTTCCCCTTTTCTCTATAGACACAAATGTGCATGTGTCACTTTACTTCACAAGGGTGGGTTGCTCTGCCCCTGTCCACAGCCTATTCTGCTAATCCCCATTCGTGGGCTCGTGGGTCCTCTTCTGTCACAAGGACTCTTGCCACAATATTCTTATGCCTCTGTCATTTTGTACTTTTGTCTGTGTATCTTAGGGTACAAGTGGGGTCACCAGGTCGGAGAGTAAACGTAGAAGTGGGGTCGCCAGGTGGAGGGTAAATGTAGGAGTGGGGTTGCCAGGTCAGAGGGCAAGTGCACATGCAGCTGGGCATTGCCAGGCTGTGCTTCCTGGGCATTTTCCACGTCGACCAGCAGCGAGAATGTGTGTTTTCCTACAGCATCTGCAACACATTCTGTCAGACTTTTAGATTTTTGTCAGTCTAATAGGTGAGAAATGGTAGTTCCCTGTTATTTTGTTATTTTCTTGTTATTGTGTAAGGTGCAGAGCATCTTTTCATATGTTTGGGGACCATTTAAATTTACTTGTTTTTCTCTGAGGTATGTTTCTATATTGCCCATTTTTCTTTGTGGCTCTGGTTATCTTAACTTGTATAAAACTTAGGTGTTGGCGATAGTGACCTTTGAGATCTCAGTTACAAATGCCTTTCCCCAGTTTGTCTCCTGATTTTACTTACGATGATTTTTACCATGCAAAAATTCTTTCATTTTTACTTCTGTGTCAGTCTGTTCTCTTGTTGCTTGTTTCCTAAGTGGTTAAGAGCTTGTTCAAACCCTTGCTCTGGTATTTTGCTTTTCTCTAGCCTGATATGTACCCAGGAAACTGCTGGGCGTTTAAAGGCTCCCAAGGCTACCTGGTGGTGAGGCTCTCGATGGTGATCTACCCGACCGCTGTCACCCTGGAGCACATACCAAAGACGCTGTCACCCACGGGCAACATCACCAGCGCCCCCAAGGACTTCACGGTCTACGTGAGTGCATTTGGCCAGTTCCTGCCATCCCTTCCTGGGAATTCCCAAAGACAAACATCCTCACAGCTCCTGACACGCATGTGTTTCCGGGGGCAGCTGTCTCCCGCCCCCACCTCCCCTCACCATGTTTCTAGGGAGAGTAACTTATAAATAGTGCATTGATTGATGTCCCATTTGTGTATACTGCTAAACAGATCAAGCTAACTGTGCCTGGCTTTGAGAATTTTATTCACTTTTGTCTAGTTACCTATAGAGGATGTTTCAACAACTGTGTGAGGTTGAAACGACTAAATGTCAAATGATAAAGTAAATTTTGCTTTCTTATTTTTAGAATTTATAGAAGCAAATTAAGGAAAGAACACCCATAATCCCAGCACCTAGAGAAAGCCACCGTTAATACTGTGGCACTTTTTGGTCTCTTTATTTTCCCCTTTAAAAAAATACAATTGACTGGCTTGGGCAATTAGACCCTGGCTCTCTGAAAAAAAAAAAAAAAAGAAAGAAATTAGCCAGGTGTGGTGGTGTATACCTGGAGTCTCAACTACTCTGGAGGCTGGGGCAGGAGGATGGCTTGAGCCCAGGAGTTGCAGGCTGCGGTGAGCTGTGATGATGCCACTGAATGCTAGCCTGGGCAACAGAGCAAGACCCTGTCTCAAAAAGAAAAAAAAAAATACAGTTGAGACAATACTCTTATAAAACTTTGTTTCCTGCCTTAAAAAAACAAAAATTTTATCATAAGCATTTTTGTACAACAGTTGAACTCTTTATAGACATCTTTAAATAGCATAAAATTCCATTGTATAGTTGAACCCTTTATTTACCTGACCGACTCTCCTGTTGAATATTTCGATTTTCCACTTTCCAGTACAAGTGCAGTACCTTTACATCTTCAGTTATTTCTGCAGACTAGCTACTCAGAAGTGGTGTCACGGTGTCAGAGGGCATCAAGGCATCACGCCGTGGTGTGCGTGACTATCATTTCCACAGCAGCACTGAAATATGTGCTGACCTCAGTTCCCCTTCTAAGAATGGAGCCCTCTTTTTTTGATCTCTGCTAACTTGATAGGTCAAAAATAGTATCTTATCTTAATCTGTATTTCCCTGTATTTCACATGCATGTTTCCTTTTTTGTAGATTCTGGTCTTGTTTTTATTGATTTATCTTTCTGGATCTTAGTTTCCTTATGAATATTTGAGCTTTTAAATGTAAATATTAAGCATGTGTCATTCTGTTACAGCTGTACTTCCCATAGTCACTTTTAATTTTGGAGGGCAGACAGGATCCGGCGCGGTCAGGGCAGGGCGGCCGCAGACACTTTTAATTTTGTATTTACTCACTGCCCATGATTTCTTCCATGGCATTTCTTATACCTAGAAAGTCCTTTCCTGTTACGAAACAGACATTCAAATAATCCCCTACATTTTCTACTCATTCTTATCTTTTATTGTGATAAAATATATACAGAATTTTCCATTTTAACCATTTTCAGTGCACAGTTCAGCCGCATTATGTATAGTCCCGTTGTTGTGCAGCCGTCGCCCCCATCCATCTCCAGAGCTCTTGTGTCTTCCTAGACTGGATCTCTGTCCCTCTCCCCAGCTGCGCACCCCTGGTGCGTGCTGTGCTGGCGGCTCTTCCTCCTCCCGGCTGGTCCAGTGCTCCAGGGTTTCTAGTAGGGAGCGTTAGGAGCAGTAGTGGGCCGTGTGGGTGGCTTGTGGTCTGTGGAGTCAGACATTGTCCCTTCTCTGCTGCTTCCTAGCATGTCCTCTTTCAGCCTGGGTTTTCCTGCTCTGTGTAATGGGAGGAGTCACACTTACCTGGGGGTTGTAACAGAATGCCCGCCCTTCCAGGGAAGGCCTTATCCCTGTGCTATGGAGAGGTCATCTTCCCTCACTCCTATTGAAGGGAAACAGTCCTCATTAGCTCAGTGTCATTCTGTTACTTGATGACTATATGTCTTGGTTCCAGGGATTGGAAAATGAGTATCAAGAGGAAGGGTGGCTTCTGGGACAGTTCATGTATGATCATGAAGGGGAATCTCTGCAAATGTTCCACATGCTGGTAAGGACAATGAGTGTCTCACTTCCTTGGGGGTTCTGGAGTCCCCTGGGTTTTGTTGTGACAGCAGGACCCTACCAGTGTTGAAAGCATGAAACCAGCCTTTGAAAAGGTTAATCTTAGCTTTCTGGCTTTGCTTTTCTTTAATGAGCTACAAATAGATGTGTTTTGAAACTGAAATTAAATAATGAGTTCCTAGGGTTTTGGCCAAGCTTCATGTCCTGTGATAGATTACTTGTAAGGTTTTCATGTTGAAAAATTTAGTTTTCAACTTTGCTGCTTCCTACCAAACATCATAGTTGAGGAAGTGATTGGGTTTGGGGTTATTAATATAACATACTTGTGTTTTTCCCCCCCTCGATTTCAGAAAAGACCTGAGAGAGCTTTCCAAATTGTGGAACTTCGGATTTTCTCTAACTGGGGCCATCCTGAGTACACCTGTCTCTATCGGTTCCGAGTTCACGGGGAGCCTGTCAAGTAAAGACACTACTTACTATTTTTGTACATTTTTGTATATACCGGACAGCCTGAAACACTGGAATCCTTCATGGGTGAGGGCATTTATAATAACAGGACAGTGTCACCTCTTAAATAAATATTACTGACTACCAGCAGGAGGATGTGAAAATTTAGGTGACAAATGCTCTGACGCCCAACTTGCTGTGTCCACTGAAACTGCATGTTGAGCGTGTTGTGTCCATAGAGATTGTCAGCAGCAGGGGAAATTCACTGGGATGTGTGGTTCTCATACGTACGTTGTTTCTGAACATAAAGCTCTTTGTATTTGTATTAGCAGCAGGAACAAAGCAAGTGCAGTTAGAAGGCTTGACGTGTTCTTGAAGCTTTGATATTTAGCCTTTCACTGGTTCTTCTGAACGACTTTTGAGGGGCAGATCTATTTCATCTGTTAAATCCATCACACATTTCTTTCAGGGAAAAACAATGTCACCAAATTTTCAGAGTTCTAAACTATCCTTTCCTTCAAGATGGGATTTTCCTTTATTCAGCACCAGTGGTTACTAAGTCTCCAGGTGGGGAAATGACAAAAATGTGCTTTTCTGCTTAGTTTGCTCTTACTTCTGAGAAAGATTTTCAGTGAGGACTCATCGTGCTACTATCCGTGGAGGAATATGGATGAGTTTCGTTCTTGTAGATCAAAGCGAGTCTGATTTGAAAGGGGAGATTTGGACCTAACCACACCACACATGGAGCTCTCTGTCTCAGCGAGGCTCTTCCCACGAGGGTGCGCATAGGAATAGGAACCAGGAAGTCTTGAGTGTTTTGGGTTTTGTTTTGAATTTTGCTGAAAAGGGAACACTACGATGCTCTGAGTCTTTCAGAGGCTGCATTGTTATTCTGCTGATGGTTATCCAAGGAGTTGTCCAGGGTGGCACATTTATGAAACCATCACATTTCAGGATCATGGTTTTTCCTACGTAGCAGCACTTTTTCCTGGCCCCAGTCGGAATTTGCCTTTTATTACGACTGTTGGGCACTCTCACTCGATTCTTGTGAGACTCATTTTGGTTATAACTGATATTTAATATTTAGACTATTTTACTGAGCAGACTTTATAAATGAGATATCTGCAAGGAACTTAAAGTGTTACAGATGTTTTACCTTAAGAATAATTTAAGTTTTATTGGGTTAAGACAGTTTTTGGTGTACCATAAATGTTGTATTTTCAGAAAAACATAAAATGATGGTGCTGACTGGTTTTCTGAAGAGTTTTATGTATATTGCACAACAGCCCTCAAATACAAAAAACTACATACAGTAGCATTTTTTTCCCTCCCCTTAGAATTGGAACTATGCAGTTGCAGTGGCTAAAACGTGTACAGATGTTTCATATATTACAAGTTATGTGTATAAATGAAAATTTCCTATAAAAACCAAATTTGGGAGTGGGGTGGAAATATTTTGAATATTAATTTATTTTTAAAGATGCAAGATAGGACTTTGTGCAATGTATTTTTGTAAATGCCTTTCAAAATATTTGTCTTTGGTAGTGCTTCTTTTGCTGCCACCAAATTGATAAGATGCTATTAAGATGTTTAAATAAAAGAGTTTTAATTTTTAAAAGTGCATGTGATATTTCCAATGAATAATAAACAGTGTATTTCTTTCTCAGTTTGTTCATCTCTGCCCGCGGGAGTAGTGGGGCTGGCTGGACCTTAGCGGGCCTATACCCTGAAGGACACAGAGTGTGGGGCAGGAGGGGACTGGGGCGCTGGAGGGGCGCGGGGGAAGCTGGAGGAGCTGAAGAGGGCTGGGGCGCAGTGGGGCTGGAGGGGCTGGGGTAAAGCGGGGGTGGAGGGGGCTGGAGGATTGGGGAGCGAGGGGAGGGGCGGAGGTGGCCCCAGCTCGGCCTCCCCGGGGTCCACCCTCAGCTTCGTACTCTCTGGAGCGTCTCCGGCTCGCAGCTGCTTCCCAGCGGTCAGGTGTCGGCGCGGCCTCCGCGTGACAGTCTCCCCACGCGCGCGTGGGCGTCGGAGTCGCTCCAGCGTGTCCTGCTCCCGAGCCCATTACGCCCACCGGGGCCTGAGGGAGGAGTGGCTTCCTCCACGGCGTCCGGACACGCCTAGATCCCTTCGCCGCGCTGCTTCAGTCTCTCCTCCGGCCCGCGGCCGCCGCCATTGTGGCGTCAGCGAGCGCCCCGCCCCCGTGTCACGTGCCGCCCTCCGCTGGCGCCGCGGCCCCGTCCCCGGTCACGTGCCGGCTGCCGGCGCGCCCGCTCGCGCGGCTCCTCGCGGCCACCGTAGAGGGCGTCGGGTGCCGCCGGGACGGAAGCCGGGAGGTGCTGCCGACCGCGCCTGCGACAGCGTCAGCCCTGCGCGGAGCGCCGGCCCGATGGCGGCGGCGGCGGCGGCGATGGCCGAGCAGGAGGGCGCCCGGAATGGCGCCCGCAACCGCGGCGGCGTCCAGCGCGTGGAGGGCAAGCTGCGCGCCAGCGTCGAGAAGGGCGACTACTACGAGGCGCACCAGATGTACCGGACCCTCTTTTTCAGGTACCGCGGCGCCGCCGCCCGCCTCGGCCCGGCCGGCCGCCCGGCCCCCGCCGCCTGCCATTGGCCACGCCGTCTCGCCCCGCGCCCCTATTGGCCCGCGCCGCTGCCTGTCGCTGAGGCCGAGTCGGAGCCAGGGGCCGCGGGGCGGAGGGCTCCGGCCTTCCCGGTCCGGCCTCGGCCTCCCACTCCGGCCTCCTCCTGCCCCCCGACCCCGCTCCGCTCCCTCTCCCGGCCCTGCCCCACCTCCCTTGCCCGCGCCTACCCCGAACTCGGGTGGCTCCGGAGCCCCTTCGCGAAGTCGCGGGCGTCCTCCCGCGGAGGGTCCTGTTGTCAGCTTAAACTCTGTCTCCTCTTATGCCGCCCCCGCGGCCCCTGCATTCTGTTTTGTGCTAAATTGTGCTAAATTGGCCGTTTTCGCGGCGCTGCTATTCGTGAGGTGCCCGCCCGCCCGGTGCGGGCCGCGGGCTGAGCGCGGGGACCGGTAACCTCGCAGGGGCCGCGCTGCACGCGCCCCGGGCTGGATGCACAAGCCCTCCTCCCCCGGCCGCTGGCAGGCCGTGAAGCGCCGCGGGCTACGCCGACCGTCGGTCACGCAGCTGCTTCTCCAGGTTTTGGTTCTGCGTGTGACATTCCTGTGCATCGCGCACGTCGCCGGTCCGGGGTGGTTCAGGCCAGAAAACAATTTGTCGGCGGAGCAACCAGACCTCGGACGTGCTTTGGAGATAACTCCAGAGAATTTCATCTGTTCTGTGGAGAACCTTTTATTTCTAAACTGCCACGGGACAGCGATTGTTTTGGTATAATATTTAAGGGCAGTCGATATGACCGTTACATAGTTGAGACCTAGTTTATTTTGTTTTAATAGGCTTTTTTAGAGCAGTTTTAGGTTCACAGCACAATTGAGCAGAAAGTCCAGCGTTTTCCATGTACCCTTGCCGGGCCCGCAGCGTGGGCACCCCCGGGAGGAGTGCGCCCCGCACAGTGGACAGACCCGCACCGACGCTGTGCCGCGCCGAGCCCTCTGTGCACAGGTGTGCCGCATCCTGTGGGCTGAATTCCGCTGCCCCAAAATCCTCTGTTAGGCCCAGATTTTAAGTCTTTTCTTTAAATAACAAGTTGTATCATTGTCTTGAGAACTCCGGGAGTGCTGCTGCTCTGGCCGTAGTTTACTAATTTGCATTTGGATTAAACACTATCCGTGAGCGGAACCAGGGTTCCGGGTCAGCGAGTGACTTGGTTAAGTGGCGAAAATCCTACTAAGTGAGGTGTGGGATGACCCCTCAGTCCCTGGCATGTAACAGGTACCATGGCCTTACTTAAAACGCTTATCTGTGCTAGGAAAAGACGAGTGTTCAAGTGAGTAGTTCTCAATCTCAGCTGACTGGACAGGTCTGGGATGAGGCTTTGCTGTCTTACATGTGGAGATTTTTCTTGTTATTTGTACAGACTCTTCTGTGCAGCCAGGGTTAGGCGCTCTGGTCTGGAGTTCCTGACTACCGGCTTGTGGAGAGGGATTAATCACTGCTCTGAGTCTGAGTGACCTGAAGGGCAGCCTTGGTTCTAGAACTTTCTAGGCATTAACTCCTGACATTCTATAAATACAAACCAGTCAGGCTGCATCTAGCTTTATCATTGTGTTGTAAGTGGTTTAGAAAGAGATTTGCTTTTCCCTTTACTTGGAGACTATTTAAGTACAAGTCCTTAATGTATGATGTTTATAGTGGTGAGTTTTAATGTTAGTTGAATTTGTCACTGAACAGTAACAACTTCCCAGTGGCGCAGGCCGGGCCATTGTAGTCTTTGAAACCTGATTGTTCTTCAAGGAGCAGCCAAAGATGTAAGTGGCTCCAGACGCGACTAGCAGTGAGCCTTCCAGGTGGGTCAGCCAGCTGTGACTCTGTATGACACGGAGCTTTCTGTCGCTTCAGATGTTCCCTGATGCTTGGCTGTTCTTGAAGTTTTGTGTATAAATATTTGCCCGGTGATTACTCAGCAAAAGTGGATCTTCCCAAAAATAAACATCATGTTCCTTGTTTTGAACCAGTTTGCCTCGATAAGAGGTTTGATTGTTCATTTAGCTTGTAAGAGATGAGTCCCCAGGTGGAGGGAGTGTTTCGTAGGGCGATGGGGGTGGTGATGATCTGCATCCCCCACGCCCTATACCGAGTGTGAAAGTGGTAAGGAGCTTGCACTGTGAGGGTTAACTGGGAGCGGCCCAGGGCTGGGCTCACTCCTCTCTGTGGGACCTGGGGCCCTAGACAGACACGCTGAACCTGTCTGATCCTAGGCTCCCTCATGGGTCATTACCTCACTGTGCCACCCAGGAGGTCCCTGCGATAGTGCCCCTGTCCATCCAGGGCAGAATTCCATGTAGACTCCCAGCCCTGCCTTCGAGCACTCCATGGGTGTGTAGCTAGTGGAGAAGTCAAATTCCCCAAATCATGCTAAATTGTTTCATGTCTTTCTGTCAATAAATACATATTTGTATATTTACATAAAACGTACAATGTGATCAGCTTTGATGTATTAATATGAATGCACCCATGAAACTATCACCAATCAAGATAATTGAAAGTACCCATCGCCCCTAAAAGTTTTCTCCTGTGCCTTCGTAAACAGCCTTCCTCACCCCTGCCCCAGGCAACCACTGATCTGCTGTCCCTCATTTAGAATAAATTGCATTTTCTAGAATTGTATGGAAGTGGAATCACAGTATGTGCCCTTTTTTGTCTTTTTAGATTCATTCGGTGTGATTATTTCGAGGTTCATCGACGTGTCTATGGTCTATTTCTATTGCTGAGTGGTATATTCCATTGTGTGTCTCTACCACAATTTTTTAATTCATTTGGCTGTTAGATAAATTCACCAGGTGACACTATTAATGCACTTACATCCCACAGCAATTTCAGGTGGAGGAGAGGGAGGAACTGGGCAGCCCAGAAGGGTCTCACAGGGTGTGTGTCCCACAGAAGTCGAGCAGGTTCCCAGTCCACCAGGTTGCATTGGAGGCTGAGAGGGTTAAGAGAGTGTTTGTTCACCTTTGTCCTATGGATAGTACTGGTTAGGGGAGGTCACCTTGTCTTTTCAGACTTCTCTCTGCCAGGACGGGGACGGAGTCCATTTTCTAGACCTGTTGGATTATTGGTGCCTCGTGAAGTCAGTAAATCTCTGTGGCTGTGGGAAGACTTTGCCAGAGTGGCCCCAGTGCGACTCTGTGGCCTTGAGGGGCCTCACTGTTGGCTGCAGTGTTTGCAGATTTGCTTTTAAAAACTTGATGTGGTTAAGAGCCCAGCCCAGGTGGCAGTGATCCGCGGCGTCCACTATCAGAGCTGCTGGGCCTGGGGCCTGCCCTCCGCTCCCTGCCCAGTGTTCCTGTGGCCCTCCGCCCCGCCAGGGAAAGTGAATCTTCCTGCCACGTGATTCTTCCTGAGATTTGTTTGAGTTGATTTTTGGGGCTTGAAACTGTATTTTTCCTCTTAAGTCATATACATTTTTAAAAAGAAAAACTTACAGTGTGTGTTCCGCACACGCCTCAACCCAGTGCCTAAGATAAACTTTTTCCTAAAGGAGCTGTTGGCAGTGCAGGCAGCTGCGCCTTGCCAGTTCAGGTGTTGTCCTTGCAGTGACTCTTTCTGAAGTAGCGTGGCCCCTAGTCCTCTCCTGAAGGCAGGCACCAGCCGACCCCATGTCCAGGTGTGGGTGTTTTAATGTGTCAGTGTGGGGACTTTACTGTGCGGTCTGTAACTGTCCCTTGTTGTTAGATGCTCTGCTGCATCACAGTGTTTCCTATGCACCCTCCGGGCTGGAACACAGTGGCCTCCGGCTGGTGAGGGTGACAGGCTGGAGATTTGCCCCACGAGCTTTGTCTTTTGATCCACACAGTTTTTATCACTAGTATTAATACTTCCATTTCTGTGTTCTGCTCTTATGTGTGTGAGAGAGAAAAAAATAAGAGCAAAATAAACTGTAATATTTGCGCAGACACGCTCTGTGGATAAAGGCTGCCATTTTTGGCTGGCAGCACCAACGTGCGCCAACGCGGAATGTCCTTCATCCGAGGATGACAGAAGTCCTATTTCAGTGTATAAAAGGTGCTTTTGGGGTGTTCATGTGGCGTATTCAGCAGCTGCAACGGTCAGGGCTGTATGAACAGACTGGGGAGGCCACCTGGGCTCTGCTCCAGCCACTCTCAACTGTCCTGTGGCCTCAGGCCTCAGAGGGTACCAGTCCCTGCTTAGTCACCCAGAAACAAAAACTCCCAGGGCCCGATTCTTCAGTGGAAAAAGCAGCACGTCGTTTTCGTGTTTGCCTCGGACTGTTTTGTCTTTACCAACTGCCCTTGGTCAGGAAACACGTGGTTTCCACGAGGTGAAGGCTGTGCGCACAGGAGCCTCACCATGTCCCTGCCTCTCCCCTCCGGTGCTTGCGCTGCCCTGGGAGCAGGAGGCGCAGGGGCGGTTGTGGTCCAGGCTGGCTGGGGGATGTGTTGCCGTAATCATCCGCAGGTTCCCTATCCCAGGAATTTGGTTTATCTGCCTCTCAAGGAGTTCTTTATTCTTCATCTGGTTTTCTAAGAGGTTATCTCTTACTGTACCTCAGATAGAAGAGTCTAGAACTCTGTAGTGTGACACGTAAGCAGAAACAAATTGACCTGGCTGTCACGTACGGTAAGTGCGTACAGTTCCGTGGTGTCTGTGCAGATGGCAGCGTGTGGCTGTATGCTGTGAGTACTTGTTCTTAGAGACCCTGCTGCCGTGCTGAGCAGGTGCCTGGAAGGGCTCCGAGATTCTGCAGGGTGGCTCTCAGCATCCTTGGAGAGTCAGGCGGCGGCGCTGCGGGATGGGAATTAGAAAAGAGGATGGCTGGTCACAGAATAAATGTCCCTGTTGAATGCTGACGGGGGTGGGTCCCCACCCAGGTTTGGAGTGTGAGAGAGACGAAAGACTGCTGGTGGCCTGACAGGTGGCATCTTGCTTGGGGTGTTATCTTTTATCTCTGGGTGGCCACGCTCAAAATGCGGCCAGATGGGGTCTCCTGTTGGGGGGCCTGTCTGCCAAGCTAATGGGATTCCCCCAAGGTGTCTGGTTGTGATGCCTTTTTGAAGAAAAGATCTTTCCTGAGGTTAATAAAACAGCCAACGCTTATGTTCCCTGCTGGCCTGCTAAAGTCGCGTTGCCCAGACTTGAGCCATCGGCGCATTTCTGTGTCTTTATATCGCCTGCATTGCTATTTACTTAGTATTTTTCTTTAACTTGATTTGTTTTTAAATGTGGCTCTGTCCAAGGAAATTTTGGCCCAGAGACACAGGAGTTGATTGGCTGGTTATATTTTTTTGCTAATAAGATGGTGGTAATCAAGGTAAATGTATTACAGTGAATTAAACAAAGTGCTTTGGGAGGCATGGCCCGTCTCGGCTGCCCCCACACTTTCACCTCACAGGCAGGGCCCGGCTGCCTCCCAATGTTTGTCCTTTGTACACAGCCCCACCCGTCCTGCCTGTGGCTTTGGGGTGCTTAGGTGCCAGCCAGGCTTCTCATTGCTCTGTGCTCCTGTCCCTGTGCGGTTCGAGAGGCCGGCTTTCCCGGCTTCACAGGGGTGAAGGCCACCCAGGCCGGTCGCTGTCCTAGGAAGGAGGTGTGCAGCACAGGCGGGTGTAGATGGGGCGCACGTCCCAGGGATGGAAGTGCATGGGATTCAATGGGAGGGAAGGAGGTGAGGTTGCAGTTGTCCCCAGGAGGACCCCATCCTGCGATCCCTATCTCTCATCCCCGTGTGCCCTGTGGCGCCTCAGTTCTCGGATGTGTGTACGTCTCCTCTGCTCCTTCTCGGAGCACCTACCACCAAGGCAAGGCCCGTCTTGAAGATGGAAGTCAAGCCCTGCTGGGTCCCTTCTGCTGAAAGCCGGGGGCTGCTCAGGGAAGGGCTGCTGTCTGGCTCCGGGAGTGTTGGGGCCCAGGTGGCCCCACCCACAGAGTCTTCAGATGGGTCTGCTGGTCCTGCCAAGGCTCGAGCTTGAGAGAGCAGGGACCTTTGTGTCCAGAGGCACTCCACGCAGCCCTCATGGTCAGGAGAAGCTGGGCCTAAAGGCAGAGGAGAGACCCCTGGGGCAGCCGCACTGAGTGGGACAGCTGGACAGACTCTTCTTTTCTTTCCCATGGAGCTTGTGTGCTTCAGGAGTTGCTGTTTCCATTCCTGATAAAAGGTGTGTGCGCACAGGACTGAGACTCCCACGCTCCCCTGTGCACCTTCAGCATCTAACCCCCAGACCATGCCCGACGTGGCGAGTGTGGTGATGAGAACTCGCACCCTCTGGGGAGTGTCTGCAGTAGGTGTCCCTTAGCTAACAGCTTTTCTCCCTGTTGCAGGTACATGTCCCAGAGCAGACACATCGAAGCTCGAGAGCTCATGTACTCAGGGGCGTTGCTGTTCTTCAGTCACAGCCAGGTGAGTGTGTCCTGTTATGGCAAGATTGGTGCCGTGGGCAGACGAGGGAGTGGCCTGGTGGCTGATGTTGGGCCATCCTTGGCTCCAGCCGCTTTGGCAGCAGGTGGCAGAGGGTGCTGGTGTTCCCAGCCACTGTGGTCCCCTCGTGCTGGGGCAGTGGGTGCTGCACGTGTATGGTTTTGGTATAAACGGTCCTGTCTGTTTTGTTTGCTCCTAGGCCAGGGATTCTCATTCTCAGTGACACAGTGCTCAGAACATTTCCTTAGCTTTGGCTTGTTTACAGGCTTCTGTCTAGAAAACCGGAGCCACTACCCAGCTTTTATATTATCTGTTCTGCGCAAATCAGAGCTTTGTTCTCAACTGTGTGATTCTTGTTTCTTAAATGTTTTGTAGCAAAACAGTGCTGCGGACTTGTCCATGCTGGTCCTAGAGTCCCTGGAGAAGGCAGAGGTGGAAGTGACCAACGAGCTGCTGGGTGAGAACCGGCAGTGCTGCTTTGCTGGGTGCCAGGGACCATGGCTGCTCTCATCGCTGCTCTTTGACGTGGCGCCTCCGCAGCTCTTCCCTCCATTCCATGTCTGCTGGGGTCTCTCACGTGCTGGGGTTGATTTTGCTGCAGAGGCAGCTGCCGCCCAGTCACAGTGAGTCGAGCCCGCTGGCGGCCCCACTCGGGCACGCTGGCGCCCACAGTACGCACTTTCTCCACAGCATTGAGTTGGCGAGTGGGTGCCTTCTGTCCATAGGCTGGGCTCCATCTGGTCATCGAGCAGCTGGCAGAGCCCTCCATGTGGGCTGGGAGGGGAGGAGGGTCCTGTGGGCCCAGAGGTGGCGGCCGTGTGGGAACCCAGCCTGCTGCTTCCGTCCCAGGCTCTGCTCCCACCACAGCCCACCCTTCGGCTCGGCTGCCCAACTCAGGCTAGGCCGTGAGGCTGGAAAGGTGTTTGTCCTTCCTTGTTGTGCTCTGTGGCACACGGTGCTGCCTCTGCAGCAGAGAGGTCAGTTGGGGGTAGCCCTGGGCGGCACTGGAGCCTGGGGACACCCACCAACACGCCAGTTCTTTTCAAGTTGGATAATTGTCATTTTTAATTCATGTTTGTAAGATGTGCAGTACAGAGAGCTGAGGTGGCCTTGTGTTCCCCTGGATGAGGGTCTGTTTGTGTTATTTTCAGAAAACCTGGCTAAAGTGTTCAGTCTGATGGACCCCAATTCCCCGGAGCGAGTGGCCTTTGTATCCAGAGCCTTGAAGTGGTCCAGTGGGGGGTCCGGGAAGCTGGGCCACCCCCGGCTCCACCAGCTGCTGGCCCTCACCCTATGGAAAGGTAGGCCCTGGGGTCCAGGAGGCAGAGGGTTGTGGTGCTCTGCCCTGGCGGTGACAGGGCCTGGCAACAAACACGGCCCCTCTGCTCCTGGAGCTTGCGTTTGCATCGTCCGTTTTGATCCATGGGAATCATCCACCACAGCGTAGGAGGGAGGCTCTGCGCTCTGAAACCCCGGGTGGTTATGCTTCGAGGTTCCGCCACCCTTGCTCGAGGACAGCCCCAAGGGGGTGGGGTGGCAGCCGTTGTTGGCCTGGCCCATTTGTCTTCCTGCTCGTACCCGGAATGCCCCCTGCTCTCTCCGGAAGATGAGGATGTCTGTGCCCCAGGGCCTGGTGCTGATCCGACCCATGCTTGGCTGGCCAAGCTGTTTTCTCCGCAGAGCCCGTCTTATTTTCTGATTGAAAGCTTTTGTGGGGATCATTCAGTCCATGCAGTGGGGGTCATGGAGGTTTTGGCTTAGTGTGGTTGGGTTTTTAGCTCTAGGTCTGCTGCTTAGGTTCCAGAAAAGATGCTCAGTAAATCCTGGATCGAGTGACATGTTGTTCATTAGGGTTTGAAAAGGCTTCCTCCCAGGCACGGTCCCCAGGAAATGTATGTGGTACATGATCTGGCAGCAGGCCTTGCTGGCCTGGCCACGTGCCCGGGCCCCCAGGCGTCCATCTTAGGTAAGGGAGGTGGAGAGGTACGACCGTGTGGGGCACAGGCACCCTCTAGGAGTTCCGGTCTAGGCCCAAGGTGACTTTCCTCCAGATATTAGTGCAGATCAGCTTTGTGAACAAGCTCCTCCTGGAAACGGGTCTATTCTGACAAGTGGTGAAACTGGATGAACGCGTGTGTTCTCTGCAGGTCAGCAAAGCCAAAGTCCATCCCGCCCTTCTCTCACCCATCCATCAAATGAACTCTGGGTGCCCCCCAGGCACCAGCCCTTGTTTGGTGTTGAGCTCTCAGAGCCCCAGCCTGCCAAGCACTGCCTGCTGGGCGGGGGGGACTGAGAGGCCACACCCTTTCCCTTTACCTGGGGCAGGTTCACCTGGCTGTGCCCTGTTCTCTGCTGTGACAGAGGCTGTCAGCTCCCCTAGCCTTCACCCCAGAGCCACGTGAGTGAGCGTCCATCAGGTCTAAGTAGAATTCAAAGGCCAGAAAGTTAAGGGAAGCTCCTTGGAGGAATCTGGCTGAGTCAATTCCTTGGGGTCACTTTGGTCCTCAGAAGGGCAGGGACCTCCTCATCCTCCCCATAGACACTGGCCCTGGCCGTGCTGTCAAAAGCAGGTTTTCTGCTGCTCCTGCTTGTCCGTCTGCACCAGCACCCTTCCCCCATAGCACACAGCCCTCCGGGGGTGAGCACTGCTGAGTCCCGGAAGGTGCCACTATGCCAGGCGGGAGTGAGGCTACAGAGGCCCTCAGACCCCCCGCAGCCCCTGGGCCCAGTCTTGACCTGTTACCTCATCTTACAGATGAGTCAGGCCGTGTGGCTGCAGGGGGGTCACCTCCATCAAGACCTTGGGCAGCAAGTGCTGCTTGGCCCCTGTCTCCTCCACGCCTGTGCGTGGGGCCCTGTGGGGAGGTGGCAGGCGTAAGGGGGTGGGCGTGAGCAGCGTGTGCCACACGTGCGCAGTGTTGCACAAGTGCTCGAGGCATGTGTGTTCGGTGTGACAATTGTCATGATAGGTGAGGAGTAAAGTGTCTGTCATGGAGCCCCTCACACCACGGTTGTGGTGTCCGGAGCATGTCTGGGGCTTTCCTCAGCGATGTCCATAGAGACCCTGCTGAACGTGCTGGTGTTGGTGGCTGCCCCTCAGGGTTGGGTGTGGCCCTAGTCCCTGACTCTGGGAGTGGCTGACTAGGGGTTCTTGGAGCTCACAAGGACTCTGAGCAGGGTGGGGCTACTGTTGCTGACAGCCACGCCCTGGGCCACCACCTCTGCCTCTCCTGGGATACAGGTTACACTTTGCTCTGGGGCGGTCGGCTTGCTAATGTCCGGTATAGTTACTTCCATAATGATGTTCTCATGTGGAGGCCCTAAAACTAGAAAGTTCTTATTTTGGAGGTGCAGGGAGACAGAAGATAGACAGAGTCAGTACTCCTGTCACTCAGACTGGCCTGAACGAAGCACCAGGGCCCTGGGCACTCAGGGCAGACAAGGGCTCCTCTTGGGGAGTTGAGGGGGCAAGGTAATGCCCAGATCTGGATGGGAAGGGCCAGGCTAGCACAGGTGTGGGGGTGACCCAGGGGAAGGTGTGTGAGCAGGTGTGGGGTGGCCCAAGAGTGGAGGGGATGTGTGAGCAGGTATGGGAGTGGCCCGGGGGGGGCGTCAGGCATGGGGGGGCTCAGGGACAGGCCGGGTGTATGAGCAGGTGTGGGGGTAGCCCCAGGGGCAGAGGCGGGTATGTGAACAGGTATGGGGATGGCATGGGGTGGAGGGTGTGAGCAGGTGTGAGGTTTGAGGGGGTCACTCATGGCCTTGCCTATTTTAAACGAGGTCTGTGGAAGGAAGGAGAATCCTAGGCTTGTCCTTGCTATTGATCTGAGGTTCAAGGTGCTGTGCTGGCAGAGGCTCAGGTGTTAGCATTTCCCGTCATGTTTCTCCATGTGAAATTGCCATTCGAGTAGGTCAGAAGTACCAGTGTTAGGGGTTTTTATGGTTCACCCTAATGGGCGCATGGATGTGGGCAGGACCTAGCAGCTTCGCTAGCCTAACACAGTACGGTCTTCAGTTGGTGACCAGCTCTGCCCTCTCCCGCTGTTTGGCATTTGGTGCTTTGAGCGAGAGGTGTTTGGTGAGTGTTCGTGAGCTACCCTGAGTGGGCAGTGGGTCCCCCGTCTCCACGTCCTCACATGGGGCTCCTAGCACAGGCGGGACGGGCAGCACAGTGCAGGTGAGTGGGGCAGGGTGTAGGGAAGGTGAATCTCCTCACATCTCTGTGATGTGTTGTGTCCCTCTTAAAGTGTTCTTTCTGTCTCTTTGCAGAGCAGAACTATTGCGAATCTCGGTACCACTTCCTGCACTCCGCTGACGGGGAGGGCTGTGCCCACATGCTCGTGGAATACTCCACCTCCAGGGGCTTCCGCAGTGAAGTGGACATGTTCGTGGCCCAGGCCGTCCTACAGTAGGTGCTCACTGTTTACTCTGCTGAGTCCTTCCTTCAGTCGCTGCCTGGGTTTCAGGATGCCTTGGAGCAGGTCACTCTCCCCTCCAGTTCACTCTGGGTTGGACACAGCTCACACCACACCCAGAGTGACTAATAATATTTAATACATTTAGTAAGTTTTAAGAAGTATCTTGGAATATGCAGTGTGCATGCTTCCACAGGCTGTGTCTGTCTCTGCAGATGTTTCTGTGCGTCTAACCCCTCAGTGCAAGCACGGGACCCCTGGCTTCATGTTACCCCCGCCCACCGGTTCCCTTGGCCCTGTAGAGTCCCTGCTCTAGCTGGACCTTCCTCGTCCTTTTTTCCTTTCTCTCAGTTATCTTGAAATACTGAAACATGCCTCAGAGTTCTGGAGTTGTTAGTGAACATCTGTACCGCCAGGCCCTCCCCCCAGTTCCCTGCCAAGGTGGGGTGCGTGGGTCCAAGCGACCGGCCGCCTGCACCGCTGGGCACTCTGTGACAGACTCAGCCTTCCCTCTTCCCTGATGAAAACTGCTCACAGGTGGTCACACTGATTTCCTCCTTTAGGAAAAGCCTCTATTTGGGAGGTGGGCACTGGGGCAGGACTCGCCTTGCTCACTGGCACCTGCTGTGCCTCGCAGGCTGTGCAGCTGCAGGGCTCTGCCGCAGAGCTGCAGGTGTGAAAATGAAATCGTTTAAAGTCTAACTCCCCAGCTTCGTGACTCGTGGTGCAAGTGTTTCCTCTGGAGCCCTGAACCCTTTCTGTGTCCCCTCTGGCACTGCCTGAGTAGTGTCCCTTGCCGAGCAGAAGCCGGGGTCTGTCCAGCACTAGCCCGGTGTTGGGCCTGCGGACTGAGTGTTCTTATGCAGGCAGGTGTCTGGCAGGTGCACGCAGGTGGGGGCAAGTGGAGGTTTTAGTTCAGTGAGTGTCAGGGATGCAAGTTCGGCTCTGGCCCCACCGTTCTTAGCTCTCTTGCCCTTTGATGAGCCTGTCACCTTCCCAGTACTCTCAATACTCTTCCTCTGTGAATCGTAAAGCTCACAGCGCTGCCCTGAGGACGTCCGTGTGCAGCACAGGCCCTCTGAGCCCAGGGCTAGGTCCTGTGTGGGCGCAAGCTGGGATGGACCACAGAGGCTCTCCGTACCTGCGGCAGCTTCCTTCACCCACTGGGATGTTCTCACTTCCAGGTTTCTGTGTTTAAAAAACAAAAGCAGCGCATCAGTGGTCTTCACAACATATACACAGAAGCACCCGTCCATCGAGGATGGGCCTCCGTTCGTGGAGCCCCTGCTCAATTTCATCTGGTTTCTGCTGTTGGCCGTGGATGGGTAAATCTTACTTGTTCAGGTGTGCACGTGTGAGTTCGTGTGGTGTGTGTAGGTATCTGTAGGCGTGTTGGTTATATAGATGTGTGTGTATGGGTGTGTGCAGATGTGTGAATTAGTATGTGCAGGCGTGTGTAGACAGGTGTGCAGCTGTGTGTGGATGTGTGCATTGTGTAGATATGTGTGCATAGGTGTGTGTGCAGATCCATGTGCAGGTGCGTGTAGATTGTGTAGCTATGTGCAGTGTATGTGTGTAGATCTGTGCAGTGGTGTATGTGCAGTGCGTGTGCACACATGAGCCTGTGGCTGTCTGTGTGGATACTGGGATGTGTGGTTTTCTCGTTGTTTTCCTTTTCGTCAGACGTAGGTCTGACGGCTTTCTTGTGCCCAGCGGCAAGCTGACGGTGTTCACGGTGCTGTGTGAGCAGTATCAGCCGTCCCTCCGGAGGGACCCAATGTACAACGAGGTGAGGGCCCAGGGTGTCAGGGCAGGAAATCCTTGAGTCTACGTGCTGTGCTGCGAGGGCAGTTCCAGCACATTCTGCGCCCTGGTGACCGCACTGCCTTGGCTCTTGCAGTACCTGGACCGGATCGGACAGCTGTTCTTCGGGGTGCCGCCCAAGCAGACATCCTCCTACGGGGGCCTGCTAGGTAAGCGGGCGGCGGAGGCTGCCGAGAGGGCTCCGTGGCAAGGCCTTCCTCGGGGAGGTTACTCTGAAAGCTGCTTCCCCTTGACTCTAAGTTTTGCTTTTTCCTGTTTTATCTGCGTGGGGTCCATTTTTAGGGGAGGTGTGGGTGGAGGCCCCTCCCTCATACCCACTGTCTGCGCCGATGCCCTCTGACTTGGCCAGGGGGGGCTCCCTTGTCCTCCCTGAATTCCTGCGTGCAGTCGGCCCTCATAGGATGGCTCTCAGTGCACACGTGTGGCGCTACCACATCTGTCGGGCTCTGTCTCCCAGCGTCACTGCTGGTCAGGAGTGTCCGGACATAGTGTTGTCTGTTTTCTCGTCGGACTTCAGAACTGGCTTCTCCCCCGCCAGAGTGCTGTCCGCGTGCTCACTGGGAGGGAGCTAAAGGTTGCAGATAAGGAAGATTCTGTCTCTTTGTATCCAAAGAACATTGTTTAACTTTTCATTTGTTTTATCTAGCTCATGGTTTGGTTTCAGGGGACATTTTGAACTTTTATTCTGTATTTGAGTGACAGTTACTCATTGGGTAAAAATCAGGTCAGTGGTGACAGGTGACAGCAGTGGGCATTTTTATGTGCAGCCTTTGAAGCTTTGACGCATCTTACCTATGTATAATTTTAAGCGTATAACATACAAGTGCTTTGTATTACAGCTTTCTTTGGTTAAAAGTGATATTTCTGTGACTTGTTTTGATAACTCCCTAGGCCTCCCCTGTGGCTGTTCCCTGGCCCCTACTGGTGGATATTTGGGTTCGTTCTTCCCTAAAGCCATGTAGCTGACATGTTTGAGCATTTCTCTCTGATCATCAGCTTTGTGTCCTCCAGAGAGTTGCAGGCACCCCTGGAACACGCCCTGGCGTGGCAGGTGCACTCACCTGTGGGAAGGTCGGGCTGGTCAGGGTAACCAGAGAGCTGCTCTGGCACCTGCCACCTGGTGTCTCCCTCCAGGGAACCTCCTCAGCAGCCTCATGGGCTCCTCAGAGCAAGAGGAGGGCGAGGACAGCCCTGACGACAGCAGTCCCATCGAGCTGGACTGAAGCTGCCCCGGCTACACGGAGACCCCACAGTCGACAGCTCAAGGGATGATATTAGACGGAGTCCCGGAGTGCGGCTCCTCACACCCACGGGCTCGGCTCTGAGGCTGGCGGTAGCTGCGTGTGCGGTGTCTGTCTCTATTTATGTGCGGTGGCTGAGGGTGGCGTGGCCTGTGGCTGTGGCCTGCCTGTCACTGTGTGGCTGGGGCCCGAGAACGAGGCCCTGGGCTTCTCCTGGCTGCCTGTTCCCCGGAGATTAATCCACAATAAAGCACAGGCCTTGCTGCCGCCTCACCCTCTCCCAGTGCTTTGTTTCCAGTTCCTGTGGGGAGGGCCGAGGGTGACACGAGGAGGCCTGTCCTCAGGGACTGGGCAAGTTGCACTCGGCATGTCCAGCGCAGCCCATGGGGGGGCCAGAGGAGACAGTGGCCACTCAGATGTGTGAACCCAGCTGGGCCTCCTGTGGTCTTCAAACGTGAGCAGTTTTCTTTTTATCTTGTTTTTGTTTGAACACGGGTGGCTCTGTAATCATGGTGTGCTTGTCCCGGTCGCAGACGGAGCGCGTGCGTGCCATGCTGTCATCCTCATGCTCTTGGGAGGTGGGCGAGCGCTGGCCGGGTAGGTACCCGCGTGGTACTTGGCTGTGGCCCTGCCCACTGGAGTCTGGTGTGGCCCGAGGTGACTCAGTATGGACCCCAAAGCCACACCTTGCTGGTCTCTGTGAGCACCAAGTTGCTGCTCTGGAAATGCTGTTTTATAAAAAGGGACACCGCAGGACTGTCCGTCTTTCTTAATGCAATATTTATTTGTACCGGTGGTTGATCTTTGGACCTAACATTAGGTTTTAACCAAATAACCAGTCCAGGAATTGGCAAACTGTCCTTTATCACTGATGCCATTCCAGACGTTATCAGTATAATTATAAAAGGGGAAACATTTTATTTTTTCACAATTAAAGTGAAAGTTGTAGATTAATACGCAGTGATCGTGCGTGGGCAGGAGGGAGACACGCAACTTTATTCACTGTAAAAATGAAATTTAAAGGAAGGTTTGTGTCAATTGTGGAGCATAAATAAATCCTTTATACTGGGCTTTGCAGCACTGGTCCTTTCTGAATAGCTCTGGGGCTGGGGGTTTCGGGGCTGCCTTGCAGGTCTTGAGCCAACCCCCTGAATACCGGCATTGGGCGGGGTGGTGGGGGGGGGCCTCAGGGTCCCAGGGGCTCTGAGCAAGGCCTTGAGAGGCTTCTTGAGGGTGGGCTGTGGCCAGTGTGTCCTGGGTTTGTCCAGACTGCTGGGTGTGGGCGGAGGGACACACAGCCTCTGTGTGTTGTGGGGGGAGCCTGACTCACCTGGCTGTGATGTTAGGAATACACGTTTAATTGGGTTGAAATCTGAAAAAATCAAATCCCCCAGCTGTGGGTGTCCCAGCTTCAAAGAGCTGGCCCTTGAGTTGCAGAGGGGTGGGCTGTGCTTTTGCACTGAGCCCCCCACCCCACTGTAGTCACCAAGGGAGAGGCCCAGGGAGGTCGCAGGAGGGCAGCGCTGCGCCCACGTTCTGCTGTAGCTTTGGTTTAGAAACCATGAGTTTGATCCAACACGATTGGTATATTCAGGAGCAGTTTGAGCAGTGTGGTGGACGTGTGGTTTTGCTCAGGATTTACACTAGATGAACACAGAAAAAGCCAGCCGGTCAGAGCCGTGCAGGACACTTGCAACCACACACCCGTGCTGCGCCGTGCCACCCACCCAGGTAATCCTCCTCCCTCAGTGACATGTGTTGCGGCACTTGCTTCCAATCCCTGAAGCCCCGTGGTCCGGGCGGCGGTGCTGGATGGCGAGCACACCTGGCAGCGGCCCTGACACCGCCGGCAGCCCAACCAGTTCTGGGCTGGCCCCTGCCAGGGGTCCTCTCATAATCCAAGTGACTGACCTTTTATGGGTTGTGAGTTTCCTGCCATGTTTGAAAGCGTTCTTTCCTTCCAATTACAAAGTTGTTTTGTGGTTTCTTTTTAAAATGTTAAGATTGTCACTGTCCTCGGTAGAACACATGGATGATACATACACACGCATTCGCACACATACAAGGTACACATGCGCACGGTTGTACATGCACTCATACACACATACACTCCAGCATGCAGGGTGTGTACCCACACTTCCATGGTGGAGGAAGGGTCTAGATCAGCCCAAGAGGGCTGTGGTCAGAGCTGACCCCAGGGGGTGGGATAGATCCAGGGGCACCCCAGGTCCTCATGTCTGACCCAGGACCAACTGCTTGCCGCACCGCCCAAGAGCAGTGGTGGTCGGTGGCACCTGGCCCCATCCCTGAGGGCCAGGGTGAGCCCCATCTCGTCCAGGGTGTGGGGACCCTGCCCGTGTCCTCAGCACCAGCCCAGCTGCCCTTGGGACCCCCCCCCCAGGCTGGGGTTGGGAGGCCTGCTAGGTCCCAGTTTCCTCACTTGAGAAGTGGGGTTCAGCATGTTCTGTGGGAGGACACGAGGCTGCATCGGACCTCGCCAGAACTCTCAGCACCGGGCAGGGCTTGTCCTCCAGGCCAGGTGGAGGTGAGGTGAGGGCTCCGGCCCCTGGGACCCTCTGCCCACAGCCACTGTAGGGCAGGTGTGGGCCCTGGGGGGCTGGGGAGGGCGGTCCTGTGCCTGGGATGGGAAGCCACACCTCTTCTCTGCAGGATGAGCTTAGACGCACCACAAACCTGGACTCAATGCTGCGGACCAGCAGGCCCAGCCCTGCCCCTCGGAGCTGACCGTGGCTTCTCCTGTTTCTGTCTCTGCCCAGGTGCAGGCTGCTGGGGCAGGGCTGCGTGTTCTCAGCTCAGTCCCCTCCCAACCCCAGCACTGGACACACAGCTGGGGACACGCCAGAGCCACACTTTATTCCAGGCTGCAACGGGGGCGGCAGGATCCCGGCCTTAGGAACCCTCCCACTTGTCCAGGGCTCCCCTGGGGCACAGCTCAGCTGGGCAGGGCTGGGGGGGCTGGGCCACCAGGTCACCGCAGGGGTGTCCCCACCTACACGCCCCACCCGGACTGCGCAGACGGCCAGGATCTGTCCTGCACGGCTCTTACACGGGGAGCCCAGCGAGGTCCTGGACTGTGGGACACGGCACAGGAGGTCGGGTGGGAAATAAATACGAGGCCTTGGACTACTGGCCGCCAGCAGCACTGCCACCTGCCGCTGGTGGCCTCTCAGCAGCTCAGGCCATCCTCCTCAAAGGGTTCAAAGGCTGCAAGGTCAGGGCCGGTGGGCAGGGGTCGCTGGTCAGCGAGCACCAAGCTGGGCAGGTAGAGATGCCCAGCGAGCGAGGGGGCGGCTGTAGCAGCCTAGTAGTGCCTGGCTCACCCCTCTGGGCCAGGAGCATGGAAGCTCCAGCTGCTGGGGCACCAGGACCTGTGCGCACCATTCGCTCTGCCTGGAAACCTGCCCCAGCATCGCCTGCAGGGTCAGCTCCTTACAGGAAAGGGCTGTGCACCTCCCACCTTGACCCTGGCCCAATAAATACTAGCTGAGGGGGAGGGGAGAGGAGGGCCCGGGGCAGGGTCAGCATGTGGCAGGTCCCAGAATCCCAGCGGCCATGCGAGCCCCACCGCTCGCTGACCACAGCAGCCCTGGGATGGTCACAGGGGTCCCGCTCTGGGGCCTAGAAGTTCCCTCAGGCAAGGCGGGTGGCAGGGACCTAGGGGGGCCTGTGGGCACTGTCCCAAGCTGGGAGGCCGCCTGGCCCTCAGGCAGGGGTCCCAGGGGCTAGGTGTGGTCGCAGCAGCATGAGGGGTCGGAGGTCCTGTGATGAGGTTCCAGAGAAAACGGTCCTAGTGACTATAGCCCAGGCCCTACCTGGCCATGCCCGGGGCTGCCCCAGGAGCAGGGGGTCCAGGACAGCTGGCCTCCGCAGGATGCCCCTGTGGTCTGGCCGCTTCCTCGTCGGCTTGGCCATGTCATGAGTGAGTCCAGTGTCTTGGGCCTCCAGACTGCCTCTTGCTAGGGTTTGTGCTTGAAATGGGCTTCCACTGCAAGTGGGACAGCACCAGGCTTGTCACGCCGCACAGGGAGCCCAGGCCGCCCACGGGCAGGACCCCGCTGCTGCCTCGCCCTTACCTGCATACTCCTGGGGCAGCATGGGCCTGTCCACCACCTTCTGAAATGCTGCCACCCATTCCCGCTGGTCCGACTCCGTCTCGCAGGTGAACAGGAACTTGCGGTCGGGCGTGACGATGGTGATGCCATGCGGCCAGTGGTAGCCCTGGGTGGACGGCGGGAGCCCATCCAGCACCTTGTAGCCACTCTCCTTGCTGCCAATGAAGACTTCCCCTCGGGCGAAGGCATCCTGTGGGACCAGGCTAGAGGTGGGGGCGGGTCCCAGGCGCAGGGCAGGAAGTGCAGCCCCTCCCCCGCCAGCAAGGCATCAGTTCTCCCACAGGTGACAGGGCACTGGGGCTAGCTGAACCACTCTGGGGCTGCACCCCTTCCTTACCAGGGGGTCTTTGAAGTACATCAGCCTCCGGTCATCCATGGTGAACCAGCGCTTCCGGAAGCCTTCTGTTTGCTGTGGGTCAGAGAGGGCCAGTGACCAGCAGGGCCCTTGCCCCCAGCTGCCCCAGCTCGCCACCGGGGCAAGGTGTGAGCTCTTGCGGTCCTTCTGGGCCCTGCTGGTCCTGCTCTGTCCATGCCAGTGCAGGAGGGGCATGTGCCTCCTGCCTGCACGCCCTTCCCTCCCCTCCACACCAGCCCTGCCTCTCGCTCCTGTGTCTCCTGCCCTCCTGGTGGGCCCCAGGTTGGGGTCTGGGTCTCAGTCACAGGCCTCTCTGCACCTGCACTACCCACCACCCAGGGTCCTGGGATTCCCGTCTCCCCCAACACACAGTAGGGAATGGCACAGTGGCATGATGTGGCCTGGCCCACGCAGGTACACGGTTCCCTTGAAAAGGTGCAGGAGGTGGGGGCCAGACCCAAAGCCCAGGATGCTGGTGTTGGGTCAGCTGGAATCCCAGCTGGGCACAGACAAGGGGCCACGAGGACCCTCCCGTAGCTGACCTGCTGTTACAGAAGGTCCTGGGGCCACCCATAGCAAGGTGACCAGCTTAGAAACACTCAGCACCAGGGAAAGTCACCAGTGCTCCTGCCCAAGACCCTCTGTGACACACCCCATGTCCTGCCCTGGCAGCCTGGGCCCAGGCAACAGAACCATCAGGAAGGAGGCTGAGCTGGGAGTGAAGCCTGGGCCTCGCACACCCACCTTGGGCCCTGTCTTCTCCATGTAGCCTTCCTTCAGGTAGTTCCTGGAGAGCTTCGGCACCAGCTGGGGCGGAAGACACGCGTCAGGGGTCCTGGCCCCTCAGGAGCTGGCTCAGCCCCCACCCCAAAGGCCTCCCAGCTAGGATCCCTCCAGGGAGGAGGGAGGAGGGCAGGGCCCAGGCTGGCTGCCCCTTTCCCTTCCCCCCTTCCCCTTCCCCCCTTCCCCTATCTGCTGCAGCTGAGCTGAAGTCGCCCAGAACGGGGCAGGAGAGGGTGACTTTACAGTGGGCCTTCAGCCAGTCCCCTGACCCACCACGGGGCTCAAAGTCCTCCCAGACTCGGGGGCAGGCACACAGCTGAGAGGTCTACCTCCCCACATCCCCCTGTCCCTGGAGGTGACCGCAGGGCAGCCACTCACGTCTGCATCGCTTGCCCCAGGGAACGCCACCTGCAGGTAGTGGAAGCGGGCAGCTCGGAGCGCGTTGAACCAGTCCACGATTTCCTAGGGGTCAAAGGCTGGTGTGAGCCATGGGCCGAGGGGGGACGGAAGGGCTGGGCTGAGCGGGGGCCAGCAGTCAGGGCTCTCTAAGGAGGGGCAGCTCCTCCTGAGCTCTGTGTCCTCGGACATCTCCAGGGGAGCAGAGGTGCCCCTCAGGCAGGAGGTGGGCGCAGGGCCCAGTGCACAGCGGGGTGGGGGCGGGCAGCCCAGCAGCCCCCACAGCCCTGGCCAGCCTCTTCTCCTTCCATCTTAAGCTATTTTTGTGAAGATCCTTATTTTGTAGCTGTGCAGGTCGTGGGGTGGGGGGGAGCTCATCTATTTATAAACCCACTCGGAGCCATGGGGAGGGCAGCACCACTCCTGAGCAAGAAGGTGGAGAGGCTGGAGCCTCTGGGCTCCTCTCTGTCCCTCCGGCTCCACTGCGGGGTGCCCTGGGGGCCCCAGACCAGTGCCCATGCCTGGCCCCAACTGTCCGGGTCAGCCTGGAGTGCGGTCCCTGTCAAGGCCCTGTCCTCACCCTCAGCTCCAGCCTCTCCTGGCCACTGCGCTCCAGGAGGGGCCAGAGGACCCCGCAGCCCAGAAGTCCCCCGACCTTTCTGCCCAGCCCCTTCAGCCTCGTGTTCTGTCCCACCGTGGGCATACCCCAGCCCCAGACAAAGCAGGACCTCCAGCCACCCTCTTCCAGCCAGCTGTGCCCTGTGGCGCCTCTAACCCTAACCCCCTGCCCCAGAGCTCATGCCACAGGCCCCTGTCACCCCAGCCCTGCCCCTCACTGGCCACGCCCACTTCCAGCCCCCCTCGTCCCAGGCCCCGCCCTATAGGCCCCTCCCACTTAGCCCCACTCTCCTCTGGCTCCACCTTCCTCCACCCAAGCCCTGCCCCGTGGCCCTCCCCTCCGACAGCACAGACGGTGCCTAACCCACCCAGGCCGGGCCACCAAGCCCACAGCACCACCCCCTCTGCCCTGCCCAACCCTCCCCACACCGCCCCTCTGAGAGTCCACGCTTGTCCAGGCCTGCCTACCCACCCTGTACTACAGACCCCACCTCAAGACATCACTCTGCCGGTGACACCCACCCTCTGCGGTTGCAGTGGCTCACACTTACCCAGATCTTTGCACTGGTCTCTGTGGGGACACCCCTCCTGTGCACCAGCCCTCCACTGGTGACTCCCACTCCTGACTCCTGACCTCCTGCCCACACGGTGCCTCCCCTTGGCTTTCGGGACACAGTCTCCGCTGGGTTTCTTCCCTTGGGGCCCCTTCCACCTGTCCTTGCACAGGTCGGTGCTCCAGTGCCACCCCGTGCCCCGTCCTCCATGGGATGGTGGCAGCTCCACAGATTCTGCTACGACCTTGCCCCGCTGGGAACCCAGCTCCCCCCGCGCCCAGCCCCATCCCAGCACACCCACCCAGCCCAGCACCGCTGTCTCTGCTCAGCCGCAGCAGCCTCTTGCCTCCCCTTGCACTGTCCTCCGTAGCCAGCGGGAAGGGCAGAGGTCACCTTGGGGCCTGACACCCCCCAGACTTCCCAGTGTACCCCAGTAAAGGTAGAAGTCTTTGACATACCCTCCAGATGCTGCTCGGCCCACCTTGGGGGACCATTTTGTGTTCTCAACCTGCTTGCTCTCCTGCCTCCCTCATCCTGGGTCAGCTTCTCCAGCCACAGGGCCTTTGCACTTACCCCTTCCTCTCTGGGAACACTGTTCCCACCCTGAGGACTAGGTGGCCACTCCCACTATGCTACCTGCCACCTTCCTCACACTCCTCACAGTGGGGTTTCAGTGGGTCCTTCATGTCTCACCGAAGTCCCTGGGTTTCTGTGGCCACCTCTTTGCATCCCCTAGCCTCAGTCTCCCCTCAAGGAAAGGGAAAGTGGAGACTTCTGGATAAAGCTGAAGATTTGCTCACACCTGAGCCGGGTTCCCTCCTAGAACCCGTTCACGGTGCCTGAGGGATTTTTCTAAAGGCCTGAACCCGCGAGGTGGGGGAAGCGAACAGGTGCACAAGAGCTGAGCGACTGAGCGGGACCGCAGCCAGGGGGGCATAGCTGAGAGGCGCCCAATTTATAGTGCACAACCCCGAGGGCTGAGTGGGCCTTAACAGCCCTAGGTCCCCTGGCAGCAGGAGTGGGGGACCCTGAGCAGGTGAACCGTCAAAAAGATTGCCCCTCCAGCCCTGGCAGGAGCTGGGGGTTCATTCTCCAGGGAGGGTAAAAGAGAGGCTCAGTGTGTGCACTCCAGAAATAGGCCTCAGGCACCCCGCCCACACCAGAAACAGTGGCTCCAGGGCCCATGAACACACTGAATGCAGAGCCCCTCCTCCCCTTCTCAGCCCCCACAGCGCCGGGCCCGAGTGTATCCACACCGGGCAGCGGGAGTTTCTCTGGAGAATCCAACCAGCCCCAGATCCCAGGATGTCTGGTCAGAGTAAATCCACAAACAAACAAATAGAAAATAGCAACTTAGAAGAAAAGGACATTTTTCAGGGATAAGAAAGCTTCAGAAATTATCATCAGTAATTAGAGATGAGATACTACAATCATGAAACAAGAACAGTGTTTGAGAAAGGAACATTCCGAGATCCAAAAGGAGCTCTGCAAAATTACGACTTTGAGAGCAGAAAAGAAACCCTCCATAGAGGGTTGAAGAAATTTCATAGAAGGTAGAGAAAAAAGAAAAAAATGGGACTAGAAGAAAAAATGAGAGAACCAGTCTAAAAGAACTAATGTCTGAATAATCAGAGTTTCAGGAAAATGAGAATGGAGGAAGTGGAGGCTTGAAATTACTGAAGAAATAATTTAAGGGAATATCCCCTGATCTCAGGGATGTGAGTTACCGGGCCCAGCAACCAGCACAGAGGAGACAGATGCAGGCCAAGACAGCCGTCAGAAAATGTCAAAACCCCGGGGACAAACTCAAGGGGAGGGAGGGATCAGTGGTGCAAAGCCTTCAGGATTAGGAAGGAAAACTGATTCCAACCGAGAATTCCACATTTATCCAAACGCTAGACCAGCGGAAGATAGAAAACGTCCGATGTGCCAGCTCCCAGGCAACCTGCCAGAGAGCTGCCTGAGGGTGTGCTCCAACACAAGGAGGGAGTAAACCAAACAAGACCTGGGATCCCGGGAGCAGGGACCCCCAGGAGAGAGATGAGGCTGCAGGAGAAACATCTCCAGACAACAGCAGTCAGAGGCTACGTCGAGACACAGTTCTGGAGTGTCCGGCGAGCACACAGTTAACTAACTACAGGGAAACACAACTGTCAGCTCTCGGGAAGATAAAACGTGGGCAGCAGAGGAAAGTAGTTGTCGCTTGCTCCACGGGCAGGTCTGACTAGCATCTCACATAGTCATGATACTGGAAACCCCGAACACGAGCGTGAGCAAATGTGCCATGAGCGGCCACGGCTGGCACGTGGGAGGCGCGGCTGCAGGGAGCCCGGCTCATCTTCCATATGGGCAGGCGTCAGATGGTGCCTAAAATGGACAAATCTGCAGCACCACGCGCAGAGTATTTATAGACACGGGACAAGTTCCCAAAGGAGGCTGGGAGGAGCCTCCAACTGCTGTTTCTCAAGACTTAAGGACCATTTAACTCTTTAAGCTGAGGCACAAACATCTGGTGAGACTGACACCCCAAGGCAGCAGGATGGGCTCCATGCTGCCCCCTGTGGTCCGGCACAAGGACAAAAGACAGACTTGGCCCTGGCCCTCCAGAGATGCTGGTGTGAGGGCGGTGGGAGGGGCAGGCGTGGGGCACCAAGGGCTGAGCTATCCCCCGGGCAGAGATAGTGGTGGCCAAAAGGAACACTGCTGTCCCTTCCCCTCCACATAGGACTCCGGTTCCCCCCCGACGGGCCCCTCTCCAAAGGGTCCCCCAAGGGCATGGGGTGCTGGGGGCAGATGCCACCAGCGGGGGTGGCAACCTGGTTCCCGGGCAGCCCGGTCCCCAAGACCCACCTTCCCATCCTCATGGTAGACAAAGATGTTCCGGGTGCTGTTGTCCTTCAGATAGGTGACCTGCAGGCCGTGGGGGTGGCCGATCTTGGCTGGCTGGAAGGTCGCATTTAGATGCTCTATCTTCATGATGGCCTTGGGCTCCTTGGCCTGGGAAGCAAGGCCACGTCTGAGCGCCAGGCAGAAGCCGTTGTCCAACTCAAGGGAGCAGGAAGGCTGGGCTCTGCAGATGCTGGGAGCACAGCACAGTGCTGTGCAGCTTTGGGCAAGTTACCTAACCTCTCTGAGCCTCAGATTCCCAGTCTGTAAATCAAGGGTAACAGTATCTCCTTCCCAGGGATGATGCCGATGTCATGCAGATTGGCCGGTGGCCCCTCTCTGCCTCTCCAGCAGTCAGCTCTGCCACCGCCTCTGGGTGTCCCCTTCTGCCCCAGCTACCCTGTCCCTGCCTGCTGACCTAGTGTCTGCCCACTGTACTGGGTGGGGGACTTGTGAACCACCATGCTGGGCCCCTCTTGTAGGAGCAGCGGGCCATGGGCCTGGCTGATGGGCCCTGCCCAGCCCTGGCAGAGGGGAGGCCCTGACCACCAGGCCACATGCCCTTGCGGTCCTGGGCTGCCCTGCTGAGACCCCACTCTAGCCAATGTGCTCACCCATCCCTGGACCATTGTCTCCAGGGTACCCCCAGGCAAGTGGGGGTCTTTCTGGGGTCCTGGTTGGCTCCATGGGGCGGGAGGTGACCAGGTTCCCTCCACCTCTCGGCTGGGCCCTGAGCGCAGGGGGGCTGCCTGGGGCCTGGACAGCCTCGGCCACCGCAACTCGGAGGCCTGCAATCCACGCAGGCCTGTCCTGGGGATCCTCATAGGGTCCTGGGGATCCTCCGGGGGGTCCTCACAAGGAGGGTCCTGGGGGGGTTTCTAGAGGATCTTCATGGAGATTCCTTATGGGGAGGGTTCTAGGGGGTCTTGGGGTGACCCCTCATGAGGGGGCTCTGGGGGTCCCCATGGGGGTGACCACATGGCCCCTGGGACTCCAGGAGAGCAGCTGAGGACACGAAGCTGCTGTCCGGGGGTGCCACTGCAGGCCCCAGCTGGAGGCCTGGAAATGCCCTGGGAGGGCCCCAGTCACCCCCCGTGGCTGGCTCACGTCACTCCTGTTGAAATACTTCAGGGCCCCCTCTCGCTCCGTCAGCACGAACTTGCGGCTTAGAAACTGCCCGTTGTCCCGGCCTCGCTTCCAGAGAAAGCCCTCGCGGTACCCTGGGGGAGAGGGAACACGGTCAGACAGGTGGTGGACCAGGGCCGGCCCCGAGGAGAGCACAGGTGCCAGGACTCCGACCAGTGTCCCCTGCCTTCCCCCGGGCCCTGCCCCACCTGGGCAGGCACCGACAAGAGCCCGACGGAGGTGGCAGAGTTGGGGCTTGACCCTGCCTGTCCCCCGCCACCTGCCCTCGTACAGAAGCAGCACGCGCCCTGGCCATCTGCTGCCGCAGGCTCTAGCTGCGCTGCTTCTCCAGGTAGGGCACACGCGTGCGGGGAACTGGGCCACGAGCCGCAGCTCGAGCTTCACGCTGCGCACACCCACGTGGCCACCGGTGCTGAGCAGAACGGCCCCAGGGTGTCTGCCTGGGGTCCTCGGACCTGGGCATGTCACCTTCTGCAGCCAAAGGGACTCTGCAGACGTGGCCAAGGGCCTTGTGGGTGAGATCTGAGGACGGAGGAGACGTGACCACAGAAACAGACCTCCCGTGGCCCCGTGGGACTCATTCGGGAGCTCCAAGCTCAGGACGGAGAGAGGGTAAACACGGGTGGTTTCAAGCCACTGAGCCGTGGCCAACGCTGTGTGCCCCTGCCTCTCCCTGCCCCCAGCACTGTTCAGACATCCTCCACATCGTCCCCACCCCTTTCCCTGTCCTGGGACCTCCTGCTGAGTGGGATCAGGCAACGTGGCTCCTCCCTCGGATCTGCACGGGAGACACGTCCGTGTCGCTGTGTGTGGGGGCCACAGCTACCATTCACCAGCCGCTGGGCTTTGGGGCTGTGTCTGCTTTCAGGCCACTGCCGGTGTCTCCCTGGGGGAGGGGCTGCGGGCTCGGCTGTTGCCGCCACGCTGGGTCTCAGAGCAGCTGTCTCGGGGAAAAGGACCCGGAGCCCCTGTGAGGGGTCGTCCGAGGGTTGGTCGCTCATCTGCGGTGGACGCGAGGGAGGGGCCGTCAGTGCCAGCTCGGGCTGCAGCCCCCGCTGGTCACCACAGCAGCCACTCGGGCCAGACCCACTCAGCCCTGACCACCACGCCTCTCGCTGCCCGGTGCCTCTCGACCACCCAGACAGCCCCATCCCCAACACCAGACACCAGGGATATTTTCTCTGTTCTCTGAGAAATGTGGCCGTAAAAAGGCTGCAGACTGGCGGCAGGGAGGGGCAGCTGGCACCGCTGGGGACATAGTGCTCGGCCTGTCTCAGGATGGGGCCAGATCGGGCCTGTTCCCTCCCCACAACTCGGAGGCCCCAGCACCTCTCAAGCACGTGGGAGGCTGATGTGCCCCCACCCCTTGGCATGCAGCAGCCGGGGCAAGTCCCCTTTATGGGAGTGGGGGGAGGTCCACCAATGTGTCCCCCAAGCCCAAGTAGGAACTACTCAGAGTGTTTGCTGACTGACTGAGCGAGCACCTGGCCCGTCTGGCTCTTCCTTCAGCATCTGGGCCTCTCCAACCGGCGCTTAGCAGGCTGAGGGTGGACGCCAAGAAGTGCTGGGAGCAGCATCTTCACAGGTGTAATGACACCACAGCTGCTCTTCCTGGGCACGCGGGGCTCTGGCAGGGGCCTCATTCACACCCAGGAGGACCTCAGAGGCTCGTCCCATTGCATGGATGAAGAAACAGCTCAGGGAGGGCACGTGCCTGGCCCGAGGTCACCTGGCCAGCAAAGGCTGGGGCTGGCTGGGCCCCTGCACATCCCACCCCGCACCAGGTTCAGGGACGCTGAGGCTGGGACACGCCCCCGCCCCTGCCATGCCCACAGTGCCCAGCAGGTGGCAGCAGCGCCTCAGGAAGCGTGAGGGCTGCTGTCCAGTGGGCAAGGCCCCTGGGCAGGCGGAGCTGTCCCTGCCATCTCGCCAGTTCCATATGTGAGCGCAAAGCCACAGAATGGAGGGGACGCTCCCCTTGCCCTTCTGGCTCTCCCGACAGCAAGCTGCCAAGGTGCCTAATTTCAGGCACGATGACAGGTAGCAGGAGCGGTATTTTAGGAGGGCATTGGCCAGGACCCAGACCTGGCCTCACCCCGCAGTCAGCCGGCCCGGCGTGCACAGACCCATGTCCTCCCTGGGAAGGCCCAGGCGTCATATCCACCCCTGTGCTCTCCAGCCCTGGGGTCTCGGGCCTCTTCCCCGGCCAGAACCTGCACAGCTAGACACCCAGGCTGTCTGTGCCCAGGTGCCCGTGTTCTGCGAAAGGACTGGCCAGTCCTGGGGCAGAGACTGGATGGTGAGCCCTGCATTTATTGAACACCTACTGTGTACCAGGCCCTGCCGAGTGCTGGGTCCAGTCCCACCTGTAGGGAGCCGGGGGCCGGCCACACTCCATGAACCCCGCCACGGAATGCCTAAGGTGGCGTGTGGAAAGTCTCGGCATCATTAGTCATGATGAGATCCCGCCACACCTGCTAGGACGGCAAAACCACCTCTCACACAAGCACCGACAACCCTGGGTGTGGCCAAGGGTGGGGGCAGTGGCCCTTCCTGGCACCAGTGGGGTGCGAAGTGGCAGAGACCCCGGAGAACACTCCGTGCTTCTTACAGAGTTAAACATACTCATCACATGACCCGGGAGCAGCGGACATCCAGGGGACGAAAGACACGATGGTGTGAGAGCCGCACACGGACGCACAGTGTGGCTTCGCTCGTCACCATCAGCACGTGGCCAGAGAAGAACAAACAACCGTGGTTCTTCCGAGCACAGATTCCACCCGCAGCCGAGGAACCCTTGTGCACCTGCCGGGAAGCCAGACCCAAAAGCCAGAATGGTTCCATCGAACGACATGCTGGAAAAGGCAAAACCAGGAGCCAAAAGCAGACAGTGGTCTCAGGGTTGGGGACTGACCACAGAGCACACTGCCCGTGGGCCCCACAGACATTCATGGTGACAAAGCTGTTCCACGTCTCGCACCTGCCACAGCTCAGGGAGCTGTGCTGTAACAGGACATGCAAAGTGTAAGTCGCACCACACATGTGCAACTTGTGCATTGGTTTATCTTAACCTGAGCCCGGCCCTACTCTGGGATGATGCCAGGCTTGCAGGGTGGGAGATGGGCCCGTACCGCCTTCTGTCTCCTGTCCGGGCTGCCCCAATGGAGGGGTGGCCTCTGGACCGCAGAGCCAGGGCCTGGGGAGGCACCAGAGAGACCAAGGCCCTGAGCCCACACCCAGCTGCCTCCGAAGGGCCACGACCTGTTTCCGGGCCTCAGGTTCTAGCTGCTGCCCCAGCCCCGAGTGACCAACACCAGGGCAGCCGTGCCTTGCTAGGCGTGGCTCCCAGGGTCACAGGTGTCCTCTGTGCACCTGCTCTGCCCTGCCTCTCCCCACCTGCTGCTCAGGCCACCAGGTCTGTCCACCCCTATTCGTGGGTCCCTGCCAACCCGCTGGTGCACCTGCCGGCCAGGGCCTCTGAAGACCCGTAGCCACATCCTGTGGTGGTTCGGGGCCCAGGTACGCCCTTGTCTGCTTTCCCCACATGGGAGCCCACGCCACCCGCAGGCTGGCAGCGAGCCCTGCCCTCCAGGGAGAGGCCCGTAGACGGCAGGACAGCTGAGACTCAGGGCATCTTTTCTAAGGCTGGGGAAACAACAGTGTCCAGGTCCAAGGGCGTCAGGACGGCTGCCCCCTCCCCACACCAGCCCTGCTCGGGGCTCCCGGGTCGGGGAGGCCATTTTCCCAAGGGGCAGGTCTGACCCCTCAACCCTGGCAGGTGGCGGGAGGGCAGGGCCCCGTCCTGGGGTCCAGTTCACAGCAGGAGCCCCAGGCTAAGTCCGGAGTGTGCTGTTCTCTGGCGTCGAGATGTCACCGTTCCTGGTCACTTGGCAGCGATGCTGGGTGTGTGTGACTGAGCACATCTGTCCTCATCCATCCATTCATTCGTTCATTCATTCTTTCGTCTGTTCAACAATCCGGCCAGTGGTAGCCATGGGAGAGGCCCACCAGACCACGTGGCTCTGAGCCTTGCGTCCCTGTCACTGGGGGCTGAGCTGCGTCCCCTTCTGTGCACAAGGAATCCGGGGCCCAGAGACATTGCCTGACTGCCACAGGGTCACACAGCAGGAAGCAGGGACCAAGTCCCTGTCCCCATTAGGGCCGTGGCTGGCCTAGCTATAGGCCAGGACCTCCCAGCTGGCCCCACGAGACCCAACGCCACCTCGTCCTGGCTATGGCCCTTTCCTGTGCCTCAGTTTCCTCATCTATCAAGCGACAGAGCTGAGAGGAGGGTGAAATGGGACGGTACAGTCCCCGTGGGCCAGCAAGGCCCTGGACTTGTATGTGGTGTTCTCAGCACAGCACAACGCAGGCTAGGGTCCCCATGCAGGGCCTTCAGCACATCCCGGGGAGGGGGCACCCAGCAGAGGCCATAAGCAGCCCCAGGGGTCAGAGGGTGGGGCCGGGGGCTCCCCGGGTCCCTGTTGACCCCCTCATGTCTCCTACAGCACCAAGGGCGGGGCTTGGCACGAGACAGGCCTAAGAGACCCCCACATTCATGGCAGCACAGCTGTGGGGGGCTGCCCCAGAACACCCCCCTCTCCACGAACCCCAAACCTGGAGACCCACACGGGGCCCCAACGCACAAGCACAGCAAACCCGACCCCAGGTGGACGGAGAAGGCTCAGGAGCGCGGCAGACGTCCTCAGTCCGGCAAGGCGCCTGCCCGTCCAGGGAGGGGACGGCCCCTCCCGCCTCCCAGCCAAGCCACAGCACCTGTCGCCTTGAGGGATCTGACCCCAGGGACGCCTCACGCTGACCGTGCACCCACGAGTGACTTCATGCAACGCTCCAGTAACACCCTGTGCTGGACACCATGTTGTCCCCACTACACAGATGGGGAAACTGAGGCACGAGATTTCCCCCCCCCCCACCGCCATCACTCAGGGAGTACAGGGCCTAGACCAGGAGGAAGGTAGGACGATTCCCACCCCCGTGGGGCACGGGGTCCGAAGCCTCAGGCAGGAAGCGCCGTGTCTGTGGTGAGGCGGCACGGGGCGGCCTGGCCTTCTGG